GCGGGCTCGGACCTGTTCCTGGACGCGGGCTGCCCGAAGCTGCTCTGCCTCAGGGCCCCGGCGGTCGAGCTGCAAGTCGGAGGGCAGTGCCAGGGAGCACACACCAGCCTCAGGCTGTAGGGCCGAAAGCAGGAAGTTACTGTCCTGCATGGTGGCCAGACGGCCTGGCCTGGGCCTTCTCACAGTCTTGGCCCTCCAGGCCCTGTCCCCAGAGTCCCCTCCCTGGTGGCTGGCGCCCCAGAGCCAGGCTTGGAGACAGAAGAGGCTTGCCCCGCCTGAGCTCCCTGTGGGCGGGACACCTGGCCAGGTGAGTGGGAGGGGCCCTGCTGCCTGCTTAAAGTGGAATTTGGGCGGAAGAACAGGCCCCAGGCTCTCATCTCTTGATGATCTCCCATCCCAGGACCCACTTGGCTTTAGCCTATGAGGCCCCACGGGGTCCCAGGGTGCCATATCCTGGGTGTGAGGGATGCAGGGAGCCTGCAAGGGGATCAGGGCTTGCCACCTAGCCTGTAGGAAAGGAAAGTCCCAGTCTGAGAGGTTGAGGTTCCAGGGCTCAAGGTCTCCACAGGAGGCTGGGCCAGGCCTGGGCAGGGTTGGCACTTATAGCTACTGTAAGGGGCTGGCTGGTGACGACAAGGACTCTGCCTGAGTGCTGGTGTTGAAGGTGGATCCATGGAGGCCCCTGCCCTGGCTCTTGGAATGAGTGAGACCCCCAGACCCATGGACCCTGAGCTCAGCTGCCTCTCTACTCTGTAGATGGGCTCTTAGGTGGGCCCTTCTCTGGCACTTCTGCCCACTGCCCTCTAGGCCTGGGGTGGGAGGCTGTTCCCAACACATGAGTAGGGTGCAGCCAACTCCAGCAGGTGGGGCTGCCCCAGGGGGTTGACTCAGAGGGGCCTGGACTCCTGCCTGTGCCTGCCAGGCTGAGGGGCAGGAGCTGGGGTCTTGGTATAGACAGCTGGGAGGGTCAGCTGGGGTAAGGGTGGCATGCTCTAATGTACTCTGGTCAGATCCAATGTCTAGTCCAAGCCCCTGGGAAATGAGGTGGGGTTGGGGGCAGCTGGGAAAAGGACCGGGAAGCCTGGGGTGGGTCTGCTGCCCTACTTCTGATGCTGCTGGAGTGTTTCCTCAGGCTTCTGCCAGTCCCTGTGGCAAGCCCTAATAAGCCTGAGCCCTCACCCACCCCCAGCCTTTCACCTTGGTTGGGGAGCAGGGGCAGGAGTGAGGAGGCAGTGGGAGTATGGGCTCAGGACAGAGCATCCCCTGGAAAGGTGTGGAACCTATGTGGATGAACCCAGGGTCTGCTGGATTCTGGATGGGGCACCTACCCTGCCGGTGGTCCAGCCCCCGCCAGCTCCCTGGCTCATCTCAGAGGCTGCTGCTGCTGGCCGAGGTGTCCTGGGCTCCATCCCAGGCTGCTGATGTGAGCAGCCTCTTGGCAACTGAAAGGAGGGGCATAGAGGGCGGGGTGGGAACAATGCACACCCATCTCATCCAACCGGTTGCTTCCCTGGGAGACATGTTTCGTGTGGAAAAATCCTGGGAGACAAGTTTGTGCGGCCCTGATGGCCTGGAGGCACATGCCTGGCACACATAGGCAGCCTGCCCACCTCTCGGCCTGGAGCCACCTGGGGTCCTATAGGGCTCCCTCCCAGCAGTCCAGAGGCTGTGGGAGTGTAGGCAAGGTGGGGAGGGGTAGAGCAGCCCTGAGATACAGGGGCTCCAATGCCACAACAGTATGGCTGGAAAGGGGAGTGACACCGGGCTGCAGAGATAGCCTCACTGGAAGGAGGAAACAGGAAGGAGGCCCAGGGGGGTGGGGTCCACAGCACCATCCTACTGGGCTGCCTTCCCCTGGACAGTAAGGGCTGTGAGTGCTGGCACTGTGCCAGGCCTCCCTGAGGATGCATGGATGACTCTAGGCTCTGGACCTTGGTCCTGGCCTGGAATGTGTTAAGGGGCCAGAAGGCCTTAGCTGTGGGGTGTAGAGGTGTAGACCTGTGGGAAGGAGAGGTGACCATGGCACTCAGCCCCAGCCTGGGATCTGCATTCTGTGACCAGCCTCCCTTTGTCCTCCCAGGTGTCTCCTGGAACCTGAGAAGGGACCTGGGGAGGAGGGGAGGGCTTGTTGGAGGAAGCATGTAGGGTTAGGGAGGCAAGCCCAAGCAGAAAGGAAAGATGAACACTGGGGTGAGTGAAGTCAGGGACTGCCTCGGAGGCTGTTGCCTCTTGGGAGGGTGGGAATGGAGAGGCTTTGGTGCAGGCACTGAGAGCCTGTGGTGGTTGGGAGCCAGCCAGTGGGTGACAGTGGGCCTTCCTAGCATTGGGCTGGGGTCCTAGGAGACGGGTGAGAGAGTCACAGCTGGGTCAAATGGAATTTCTAGTTTTAGTGTTATGAGGAATCTTCACACTGATTTTGATAGTGGTTGTACCAGTGCACACTTCTACTAACATATAAAAGGGTGTCCACTGCCCCCAAAGTCCCTGCAGCATTTGTTACTGTTTGATTTTTTGGTGATGGCCATTCTTTGTGTGATGAGATGGAATCTCAGCACTCTTATAATTTGCATTTCTCTCATGTCTAGAGATGTTGAGAGTTTCTTCATGTACATATTGGTCATTTGTACTTTTGATGAGTGTCTATTCACTTGACTTGTTTTTTTAGACAAGGTCTCACTCCATAATTCAGGGCAGCCTTGAACTATGTAACCTAGGCTTCCTTCCAACTCACGGCAATCCTCCTGTCTCAGCCTCCTGAGTGCTGGGATTACGAGCATGTGCCACCATTCCTTGCCCAGGTTTTGAAGGAATCTTTTACTTTTGGGCACACTGATGGACTGATGAATGGGCTGGGGTATGGATCTGAGAGTTTTGTCTGGATTTTGCTGGGTTCAGTCCTGCCTCCTCCCCTGTGGAGCCCAGCAGATGCCCCCAGCCCAGGGCCCTAGGGCTGTGCCTGGGCAGTAGTATCTTAAGTGTGGGGTCTTCACCAGCTCCAGGTTGGCTCTGGATGTGTCCTGGGTCCACTCACCAGCTCGTGTGTCCTGAGCTAGTCCTGTGCTCTCCAGCAGCAGAGAGGAGTGGGGTGGGGTCTCAGCAGAGTCCCAGAGTCCCCTCCCTGGGTCCAGGCTACTTCTTCCTCCCTGGCTGGCCACAGCTGTCTGAGGTCCTGCCAGGTGTCTGGAGTGGCTCCATCTGAGCCCTCCTGACTTGAAAGTGCCTCAGGGCCCCGTGCTCTCCTCCTTCGGTCAGCTTCACTGAAGGCTCCCGGAGCTGCCAGACTCTCAGCCTAGGGCAGTTGAGCTGGGCCTGCTCTGGCCTTCTCTCTGCCCCAGGACTTGCCAGATGTTTTGCTGAGTTTTACAAGTGGCCAGTCTCCCTTACCCTGCACTGGAAGCAGGGCCACCCACCACCGCTCACTTCTTGGCAGGCATTTCTCACCATTCTGGCTGGGATCTGTTGCAGAAAAGGTTTTCTGCTGTGTCTGTCAGTCTGTCACCTGTCCATCCATCCTTTCTGTGTCTGCCTGCCTTTCTTTTTTCTTTTCCTTTCTCTTCAGTCCTATTACAGGCTGGTCTTGAATTGGCCTTACACTTGAGATGACCCTCCTGCTTCAGCCTCTCTAGTGCTGGCATTCACCCATGCACTGGCTTTCTTGGCTTCTTTATTGGTGGTTTGTCACATCTTCCCATGAGTCATTTTTGGGTTTTTTTCCACTTCATTCTGTGTGCTTTCTCCAAAGTTTGTCTCCTGTGTTCCTGTCTGGGTTTCCAACAGTCTTCTCAAAGTGCTAAATTGGATATTAGAAAGGTTTTAGTGTTGTCCCATTTTTTTTAACCAACTGGTATCAGGTAACTTTTCTCTGCACCATTTTCATCACTGATCTTCAGAACATTCCCAGTGCTGGCTCTCACCCATTGTTCCTGAGTACAGCCACCTCAGGCTTGCTCCTTGGACTATTCCACACACAGGTAGCCTCCCTGGAACTCTCTTCCAGCTTTATTACTGATTATTTTTCCCCTCTGCAGCCTTTTCCACCAGCTGACACCAGAAATTGCTCATCTTTCCTCTGTCCAGAGGGGCTTCTGTCACTCCAGCACATGGTAGGCGCTCCAGGGATGGTCAATCAAAGGGATTGACAAATTGAGATAGGAGGGCCCACACTGGCTGGACCTCTGTCCAAATGTCTTCCTGCTTCAAGGTAGTTCTAACAAGTGTGTTCTGTGCAAGATTCTGACAAGTGTGTGTGAGCCTGTTGCTTACATTTCTTTTCTCCTTCCCTTATCTTTTATCTTTTTTTCGTAACACATATTTTCAAATCCAGTGCTCCTTCTTTTCCTGTTGTGAGACATCTGTGAGTGAGGATAGTTGTGAACTGGGTACTCAGCCAAGGTAGAGAGGGCACGTGGGGCTCTGTGGTGGTGGCTGGGCCTGCCTTATGGGTCCTGCTGCCCTGTGGACTTGAGAGCACACATCATAGACTTGGTGTCCTGCTGGCTGGGTAGCAGCCAGTGGCCACTTCTCAGTTCCCTCCACTAGGATCCTCAGGGCCAGATGGGAACATCTGTTGGGCCCTCTTCCAGTCTCACCTTGCTCCTGCAGTGTTCCAGGGAGCTATAATTCAAGGATGCCATTTGGGCCCATCTTCAGGATGGATGGGCACTTGGCAGTGCTGCTTCCCATTTGCCCCAAAGATGTCCATGTCCTGACTCCCAAGCTTTGACTGCTGCCATGGGTGGCAAAAGGGACTTTGTCAGGGTGCTGTGGCAGAACTCATCTTGGGCTACCTAGGAGGGCCACGGAACACTGGGGTCCTCAAGAAGGGGAAGGAAGGAGGGTCAGACAGAGTCTCTGAAGGAGGTGTGAGGATGAAGCAAAGGAGAGACAGGAGCAGAGACAGAGTAGACCCAGAGACGGAAACAGGGTGGGTAGTGGGATCAGGGAGGGTCACAGAAGGAGTGGGTGGTCTGGGGCCACCCAGAGAATGCACACAGGATAGATCAGAACTAAAAAAAATATTTCATTTCATTCTGAATAAAAAACGGAACAGACAGTACTCTCGAAATTCTGAAAACAATGTCATCGCTACTGAAAATTTCACAGAAATCATCTGACTGTGGGGACCGAGGCAGTCTGGCTGGCCCACTGGGAAGGCTCTCTGGGGAGGTCACAAGGGCATGGCAGGCCAAGGGGAGGCACGTGGTGGCTGTGCTCCTGGGATCAGGCTGGAGTGACTGGCCACTCTCAGGACGGCTCCTTGTGGGTATCTTTGTGGCTGCGTGTGCCCCACATCCCTCGCTTGGAGTGGTAGTGGTGGTAGAAATTTCGAAGTCGGAGTCGCTCCACCTCCAGCCCTGCCTGCAGGACCCTGGGGACAGGTGGATGAGGTCAGTGTCTCTTCCAAGGGCTTCAGAACCTGGGGGGAGGGCTTCTGGGAATGGAGTAGGTGAGGGGGTTCCTGGAAAGATGGAGAGGTAGGCAGGGCCCTCATTACATGGCTCTGCCTCTCACCCTCCCATCCAAGGAGGAGGGGGTGTCTCTTCAGCCTGGGAATGGGGATGGTCACCTGTCCAGGAGCTCCCAGTCCTCTCCCCCCCACTGGTCTCGGAACTCCTCAGTGTTCATGCCTCCCACGCGGTCAAAGTCCGATTTGTAGATCCCGAAGAGGCCAAAGCCATTCACTTCCCAGTAACCTAGTATGTGTGGGGTGCCCTTCAGATGCAATTTCTGCAGGCTCAGATCCTCCCTTTGCCCCACACCCCACCTTAAAGAAGGATAAGGAAGAACCTCAGAAGCTGGTGATGGGTCAGGGGTATGGCGCAGACTGTAGGGTTCTGGGGGAATCTGGCAGGACCCTGGGGACTCTGGAGTCCTATGTGTGGGGGTGTCTCCTGGACTCAACCTGATGGTCAGTGGGGGCCACCCCCTCACTGAGGGAGTGCTCAGGTGTTACCATGTGGATTTCGAGGGGAGCTCCCGCATCCCAGGCGCATGACCACAGGGGCGAAGGCCAGCGTGCCCTCCACGCAGTGCTTTCGGATACTGTCCAGAATACTAGGTGGGAAGTGGATGTGTAGGTCGCAGAGGAAAACGATGCTGCTGGGGTCCTGGAGGGTAGAAGATCTGAGCCCATGCTGTTCTGAAGCCCCTCCCTGCAATCCCATTCTGCTTCCCAAGGCTCCCTGGCCCTCAAACCTCCACAGCGTCCACTCCGGCTTGCAGCCCTGCAGAGCGCTCGAAGTTTCCTGTTCGTCTCAAGTATTGATATCTAGGGAGGACGCAGGGTCACTGGCGGGGTCCAGGTGGCAGCATTGAGAGTCCCTGCAGTCCTTGCAGGTTCTTACCTGGGCAACCGTGCCTGACGCAGGGCACGCTCCACGTCCATGTCCTCGCTTTCAAAGTCCACCAGGATGACGCTGAAGTGCGAGTCCCCGGTGTGCATGTGCAGTGAGGCCATGTCCGCCAGAAACTGGACCACCCAGCGTGCCTGGTTCTTAACTGTAGGAGGCGCGGGGTCGGCGGTGCGACCTCGGTCCCCACCAGCCCCGCAGCTTGCCCGCATGCACACCTGGCACGATGAAGTGCACGGCGACGTCCTGGCGCCAGGCCAGGCGCAGAGGGCGGCAGAGTTCAGGGCGGCCGTCTGGGTGTGTGGAAGCGGTGAGCACGGACTCGGGGTTCCCTCCCTCCTCACTTCGGGTGTGCGCGCTAGGCAGGCGGAGGAAGACGAACTCCGAAAGGCGCAGGCGGCCCCCACTGCGCTCCTGTAGCTCGAGCTCCAGCAGGAAGCGGCTGCCGCGGGCCGAGTCCCGGCGCTTCTCTACATTTACAATGCGCAGGAGCGCGAAGCGCCTGTGGAGAAAGGCGAGGTCAACCTGGCCAAAGCACAGGTCTCACCCTGCATTTGCTTTCCTCGCATGGAAGTCGTGACGCCCCATGGCTTCACCAGGCAGGGGAAGGACAAACAAGGCTGTGGCTGGGCTACACCATACTCCTAACCCTATGGCTTCCTCGGCTTCATCCGCAATCTTCACATCCCTCCCCTCTCCAGAGCAAAGGGGAGCACAGCAGGTCGGGTAGGTGACCCTGAAGACTGACTGTCCCTTCCTCACAGGTACCCTTCTCTGTTGGCTTTTCTGTGTCCTCAAGTTCCTCTTCAAATCTCTGCCTCCTCTCACACCAGATGACTCCTCTGGGCCCCTACAACACTTCTCTGTCCCCCAGGACTCCAGTAGGAGACTGTGGTGGCACCTGGGCTCCTTCCCTTTCTATTCTCTCTCGATCTTGAGCAATGCTCCTCCCTGGGCTCTAGACTATTCATCCTGTGCCTTGCCCTCCTTGGGGTGGGGAGCCAGTGCCCTTTGCCCTAGGAGCTGGCTGCTGTCACCTGCATGGATTCTATGCATTCCCACTATGCTGTTCCCAAGTCATGGACCTTCTGTCTAATCTAGTTATTCCTTCAAAGCAGCCACACTCAGCACCCAGGTTGGCAAACACGGGCCGCAGCTATTACTACCCAGCTGGAAAGCCCCTCCTGGTCTTGAGACAGAAGCTGGGAGGCAGAGTAACCTTGCCCTGGAGCCACCTGGGGTACAATACCTCCCCTGGTCTTTGTGACTGGAGGGTCCTGGCCACTGACAGACTCTTTCCCACCAAAGCAACTGGGGATGACCCAAAGAGATCTCCCAGCTCCTGCCTGGTGGCCACACTTGGCCTCCTGCTCCAAACGGGCCTGTACACACACAGCTTGGGAACACCAGAGGGGCCAGGGGTCAAGGGTGGCAGATGAGGGACTGTGAGGGGGGTGCAGGAATATGGGAGCAGCGCTGCATGGGGCTCACAGACTTTGGCGCCTAAGATTGTGGGGAGTGGCATCCTGAAAGGTGCTGAGACAGCACATCACCAGACGCAGCCTTACCCTCCGTGGCGCGCATTGAGCCGCTCCATGTACTGGGCTGCCACTTCCACGGCCTCGGCCTCAGGCAGTTGCAGATTGCCGGACACGTTGCAGCGTAGGTCGTTCCAGTCCGAGCGCAGCAGCTCGAAATCCACGGAGCCCACACTGAATGTGCGCTGCCAGTCGATGGCGTCCTCTCGCCAGCGCTTGGGCACTCGGCCCACAGCATCCTCCTCGCTGTCCTCTGATGCTGCCTCATCGCCCGGGGCCCCTTCCTCCTCATCCCCGCCCTCTGCGGGTAGCTGCTGCTGGGTCACCTGGGACAAGCTCAGGAAGGAGGTCACCGGCTGCACAGTGGCAAATGTGTTTATGTTTGCCGCGGGTGTGTGGGCCTGTGGGGCCCCTGGGGTGGGTGGTGCATGGGGCTCTGTATCCCGGGGCCTAGGCCTGCGGAACCGGCGCTGGGGCCTCGGTGCGCGCAGCTTAACTTGCGGCAGGCCCCGGGCGCGCAAAAGAACGCCGGCCAGAGGCGGCCAGGCTGGACTGCGAGGGGATGCCTGTGGTCGGGGCCGCACTCGAGTCACGTACACCTTGGTAGGAGGCTTGGCGGCGCGCGGGGGTGGCGCATGGCCCAGGAAGAGGGGCAGAGGGCGCGAGGCCCAGTGTAGCCCACGGGAGCGGCGTGGTGGAGGATCGCGGGAAGCTGGGGGCTCCAGACCATGCTTTGTGGGGGCCGCTGGTACAGGAGGCCTGTGTCTGCGCCGAGGTGCGGCTGCCTCAGTAGGCTCCAGACTGTCCAGCAGCTCCCCCTCGTCCTCATCATTCAGAAAGTCTGTGGGCATCGAGGGTGAGCCGGCACACTATGGGGGTGGGGAGGGGCGGCTGGGGTAGAGGTGGCTCACCATCTGGGTTGAGGAACAAGAAGGCACGGCGCTGCACCTCCTCCTCCTCCTCCCCATCGTGCCTGTCCATCTTCATGTATTTGTAGAATCCATACCTGGGGTAGTAGCTGTTTCAGAGGGCCCGCCCCCCCAAAGCCACACCCCATCCCCCCTAGGGTACCCACCCACCTTTCTAGGTATAGGGGAGACTCGCGGTAGAAGCACTTGTTTTCCGTCTCCATGTGAGTGAGGCGGGTGTAGTCATTGGGATACACGAAGGTCAGGTATACCTGGAGATGAGGCAAGGGCTCAGGGCCTCCAGGGAGGCAAGAGGCACCTGCAGAGTGGTGGAGCTCTAGTCTGGGCACTCACGAACTGTAGCCCCTGGTATCTTGCGATGGGAAAGTCCTTGAGAACGTAGGTGGGCGCATAGGTGCAGGGCTCCAGCACACTCTCCAAGCTTGAGGGCTCCATCCGGGGTGCTGTGGGAGGCAAGGTCACCACAGTGGTGTGGTGCAGCACGGTACAGCGCCGCCTGGCCCAACCTGGTCCAGCCTGGCCTGCCCCGGCCTTTCTGGGCACTCACTGAGGAAAAAGCTGTCCCTGGGGTCTGGCCGCAGCATGTCTGCGCTGGGCTCCTCTGTGGGCAGGCGGCCCCCAACGTGACTGGCTGGAGACTGGGGCACATGGGCCACGTGGTCCATCTTCAGAGCTGACTCATCTGCCAGCAGCTCAAGTTTGAGTCGAATCTTCCTCCCCACCTAACCAAGCCACCCTAGCCACTATTTCCCACTGCCCAGTGCACCTGTGTACAAGGAGATGTGAGCAGAGCCGATGACTTCAAACTTCAGGCCCGGCAGGTAGGTGCGCCACTGGGGTGGGACAGGAAAGGAGGCTGAGGCGGGCAGGAAGGGTCTCCTTGGCCCAGGGATCAAGCAGAATGGGAGTGGCCCCTCAAGGTCACCTGAAGCAGGCACCTCAGAGGGTGGATGAGTTGGGGTTTGCTAGTTGGGAGGGGGCTGGCAGGAGGCCTTGAAGGGTGAAAGACCTGAGGTACAGATCACAACCCCGCCAACACTTCCAGAGATCTTCCTGAAGCCTGACCTACTCCCTAGTTTTGCACCATCAGCCTCCTGAGCTCATAGCTGACCTCATGAGAGTCAGACCCAGCACTCATACCCAGGCCCCTGCCTGGTCTGTCCCCAGCTGCTCTTCAGTCTTCTAGATAGAGGTCAGTCCTCTTTCAGCCCCCAGTTGGAATTACTGGGGACCAGCTCTGGCCTTTGTTCCCAACTCTTCCTGGATCCTTACCAACCCTCTTCGCTTCAGACAGTGTATATGCATACGGCATGCTGAGCTGGGTGACACCACATATACCACACCTGTGGGACCTCCTACAGAACTGGGATTGTGCACTCTTACCCGATTCTGGTCATGGTTCCTGGCTCTGAACCCAACCCCAGCCTACTTTGGCCCTCTCAGTCTTGCTATAGAACTCTCTTCCAGCTGCAACCTGTTCTTCTTTCCCAGGTCCCTGCCATGAATTTTCCTGGACTGCAAATCCCACTGGCTCATTCTCTGGACAGTCTGGTTCAGCACTCCCATCTGTCCACCAGACCCCTTGGGGGTCTGGAATTAACACACTGCATTTCCCACTCCCAATTTTACCCCTTAGCTTCCTGGTAGAACATCACCCATCAGTGAAGCCCAGACCTGGATACCCTTTGTAGTGGGGACCACCCTGCTGTGTCCTGGGGCACAGTGGGAGGTGGTTGGGGAGGTGAGGGGAGGCACTCACAGCCACTTCCACATGGTCTGAACCCTGATCATCCTGCTTGTGAAGCAGTTCAAAGTAGTATCTCCGGGAGGCCATTAGCCTGTGGAGAGAAGGCAGGGCTATGCCTTTTTGTGCAGGAACCCTGAACAGATGGAGAGCCTGGAGACAGGCAGTGGCTCCCAGGCCTTCTGGCTGTTCCCTTAGGGACAGTGGTCTGGCTGGGACGGTGCTGGTGCAGTGTGTGGTAGGGTACAGAGGATGAGGAGATACCACTGGCCTCCTTCCTATATGCCAATACACATGGGCATATGCATATGAATACTGGTATGCATATTACACTCACACATACCAACACCAAGTGTGCACACACACAAATGCCTTTATATACATCCCAATCATGTACACCATATGTGTCTGTATATGTACAAATACCAGTCACTCATACACTAAATGTGCACACACAAGTACTTGTACATACAACAGTCATTTACACACAGCAATATACATGCAAACAAGCGTGTATATATAAATATAGCACTAACATACCAACATGCATACACACACACATGAATGCTGGCTCACACACCAGTCACACCAATATGTATGTACACAGATTAGTGTTTACACACACCTCATGTGTGCACACAAGTGCTTTACATACACCCTAGTCACACATAGCAAACATACATTCATACACATGAATCTCTATACAGGCACCAGTCACTCACCTACACATGCATGTACATGGATTCTTATATACATACCAGCTGTACACACCAATATGAATGCACATGAGTTTTTGTACACACCAATACACATGCACATACACATGAGTACATGTACACACTGTCATACCATCAACATGTGTACATGTTGGGACATACCCTATTCTCACACACCAATATGTGTGCATACAAATGAATGTTTACACATATCCTAGTCATTTACAGGCTAACACAAGCATACATATGAATGCTTGTACCTATTAGACATACCAACACATTTGCATGCACATGAATGACTGTACACAGTCACACCTACTAGCACATGTTTGCATACACACATGAAAGCTTGCTACCTCCTATAGTCACTTACCGTCTGGGCTTGGACACCTGGGAGTTGAACTTGGTGAATTCTCCAGGTGCTGTCCACTCAGAGCCAGTCTGGGGGGTGACACAGCAGGGTTGTGGGGTACACTTCATGAGGCACCCAGGGGGGTAGAGCCTAGGGTGGGCAGGGTACCTTGCCCACGAAGGCCACAAGCTGGGCAGCTGCTGGGCTCTCATCTGGGCTGAGCCAGAACTCAGAGTTGTCGTCTGAAGCCACTGAGAACTGGATGTCTCCTGGTCCGGAGGCCAGGGTTAGGGCCAAGCCACTCCCCTGGTCCCTGCCCCCCAACACCCCAGCCTCGCACCATCTCTTGCAGGGTGGATGTAGCCGAAGATCCGGAGCCCATAGTTCCTCCATCTGGGGGACACGGCCAGCTTCTTCACAGTGGTGCGGGTCTGGGGGCAGGAGCTGCTGGCATCAGCATTGACTACATAGCCTGGCCCTGCCCACCACCCACTGCCCTAGGGCACTCACGTGGGGGAACAGTGGGAAGTGCAGGTTTCTCCTCAGGTGGCCCACAGCGCCCCCACACCAGTCTTCAAACACATGCAGGTTCACCTTCCCCTTGTACTGAAGGCAGAGGGGCTTCAGTCATGGCACGCAGCCCCGCAACCTCCCAACCCACCCAGGCCCAGTGAGCTCACCTCTTCCCGCCACATGGGCACCTGATGAGTGAGGTTCAATGGGGGCAGCTTCCTGACCCCGCCAGGAAACAGTTCATCTGCAAACTGATCTTCGGGCTGCAGGACAGAGAGGGCAGGGAGGGAGTCTTACAGTCACATGTAGCCTGCCCAGGCACCACAGAGTTTCCCAGCTCCCATCACCCATCTGGCCATGTGGCCCCAGTGCCCTCCATACTCAGTTGCTGTGTCACACCTGCCCAGGGAAGACATGTGGCCAATGTCACACCAGTGACTTGGACCTCCAGGCTGGACTGTGTTTGTCCACACAAGTGGCTTTGTGCACATACCAGCTTCTCTCATGGCCCCTACTCACCACCTGCTCCTCCTGACTCTCACTGGAGTCTTCTACCCTCTGCGTGGATGGTACCACTGGGACACCCCGACCATCTGTCACACCGGCCAGCTTCTCACCATCTGGGGGGCATGTGAGGTGTGTGTGTGTGGCACAGAACCTCTCTGAGTCAGAGAGGTTCTGCTTGGTGTCAGTTGGAACAAGAGCACCCTTCCACATGGCCAGTACAGGTAGGAAGGCTGTGCCATCTCCTGCTGAAGCATCTTGCCATGTTTGCTCCCTCATGGCACCTGAAACCCTGCCCTCACCTGACCACTGCTTACTCTGGCCCTTCCACAACCTACCTCAGTGGACAGCCTGGGCAGGAGCCCTCCAGTAGCTCTTCCCAGCCTCTGGCTGGTGCAAGGATACAAAGTGCTGTGCATGAAAATTAGCCCGCATCTGCATGCACACACAACAGGCCAGCGTATCTCATCTGCACGCATGCAGAACTGTGTATATCAAGGCTAGCGCATATCTGTATGCACAGGCAACATGCCAGCCTGCATCTGTGTGGACATGCCACAGGTTAGCATGTATCCAAGCAACAGGCTAGTTCATACCTGTGTGCAGATGCAATAGGCCAGTGTGCAGGTGTGTGCACATATAATAGGGTAGCATGCACATACAACAGGCCAGCACACATCTGTGTACATATGCAACAGGTTAGTGTGGATCTATGTGCACACACAGACACATTAGCATGTATCTATGCACGCATGAACAGCCACCTGGCTGTCCTCAACCAGTAGCTCTGCCTCAGGAAGAACTCAGGACTGTCTGGTGCTTGTAGCACTTTTCCTGTGTGCTGCCTCTCTCACCAGATTTGAGAACTCAGGGTTACCACAGTAAGTATCCTCGTGGTCAGGAAGGTCAGCATGTCACCCTGGGGCTATGTTAGGTCTGGCTCATGGCATCTGTGCCACCTGGCCCAGACTGTCCTATTTAGAGGACCTGGTGCCAAGGTGGCCCTAGAGCAAGACTTTCTTTTGTGCTTACCTCCTTTCCAAGAGCCCTCTCTTTTGCTCCTCTGCCTGGATGTCTTCCCTAAACTGTGAACTTCAGCATACTACTGTGTGCCTGCAGGTGCCCATGCCTTGGGATCTGAGGGTCTGAAGTGGAGACCTCACTTTACCCAATCTCTGTCCCTTCTGGTGCTCCCATGCAGGGATACCAAGCCAGGAGAAGGCCACGCCTGACATGCCTGCCTGTCCTTCTGCAGACCTCAGGAGCAAGAATCATGCACAGGTAAAGTTGAAACCAAACTGGCCAGGTGCTTGTCTCTGGGGAGAGGGCTACCGTGGCCTTCTGGCCTTTAAGATCCCCTCACTCTAGACCCTCCCATCACTATTGGACACCCCCCCTCCCCAGTCTGGCCACATGCCCATAGTCCACACCGAGTCTAGGCATCAGGGGTGATGGGGCCTTCTGCAGCAGGGTCCTAGCCAGGCCCTACTCTACCTTCTCCTGGGGACCTCTGCTTGCACAGGCTGTTGGACATCACCTGGTACTTCCTCTCCTGACAGAGGAGTGGGCCTCAGGCCTGTCCAGTTGCTCAGTGGCTCAGCTGTGCCTTACCTGCATGTGCCTGCCCCTGCTCCAAGCCAGGGATGTGGGGCTGGTGCCTGCCTGTGCAGCTCAGGCTGCTGTGGGCCTGGCCCTTTGCAGCTTTGACCTTCCAGGACCTAGAAGTGCACCTGCCTGCCAAGGAGCCAGGGCCAGTGACCACATACTGTGCTGGACCAAGTGAGGGCAGCGGGGCCACACTCCAGAAGTGGGGCTCCTGTATCTGGCCTTCTCCTGCTAGGCTCAGACTCCTTGTCTGTTCATAGGGAAGTCCATGGCTAATGCTCCCCGCTTACAATGGGTCTTTACAGCTTTGGGTCTTTCCCTGTCTGCGACAGCTGGAGTGGGTGGGGACGCTTTTAGGGTTGGCCCAGTACCAAGGGTTTTGGAAGGTGTGAGGTGCAAGTGCTGGTGAGCAGTCGGGTGATCAAGGAGCCAAGTGTGTGGGCCCACGGAGGGGGAGCAGGAGGAATACAGCACAGGGGCTCTGGCCTCACGTGGGCGCTCTCTGGAGGATGAATGCTGGTCACCTGTCCCTACACCCTCGGGACACCTGGGCACTACTTCCTTGGTGGCCTTTTCTCCAGGCAAGGCCTCCTGTAAGCTCTGACCAAGGTGTATGTCAAAGGTCAGCATTTCGGCGCCTCCCGGGCTCTTGCCCAACGGAGCGCTTTGTTTGAGGGTCCCCCTCTCGGTGTGCGCTGGAAAGGACAGCACAGGGGCCGCTCACGGGGGTACCGGGCCCTGCGGGAAGCACCCGGGTGTGCTCAGGTCTCAGCTGGGAGACTGGCTGGGGGCGCCCTACCCACCTCGGGGGCAGAGGCCCCATAGGGCCGGGCGGGGCGGGGGTCTGCCCAGGCCTCCCCCACCCCGTGCCGCCCGGTCCAGCTGCGCCCCTCCCCCTACCTCGCGCGTGGCTCAGCCGCTGGCGCATCGCGCGGCCCTGGCGCACCAGGCTCAGGTGCACGTAGGTGAGCCACGCGGCGCAGGTGAGCAGCAGCAGCAGCAGCAGCAGTTTCATCCGCTTACGGACCTTCTTCACCGGGAACCACGGCATCGCGCCGCGCTCAGGGCTGTCTCCACATCCCCGCCGCATCAGCGCCAGCGGCCCCGCATGGCCCTTTGTCCGCTGCCCCGGCCCCGCCGCGGCCCGGGTGGGCGGCGGGAGCGGCTCCTCGGCGCCCTTACCCGGCCGCCCCGCCCGGGCGCCCGCTGCTCTCGCCTGGGCCGCGGCGGGACTGAGAGGCACGCGCGGCGCAGCTGCCCACTGTGCCGGGACGCGGCCCCGCGGCCAATCGGGCGGGGCCGGCGCACGCTGGGCCAATGGGCGGCCGGGAGGGGGCGGGGAGCACGGGGACTCCGCCCTCCGACGCGCGCATCCACCTGGGCCGCGCCGGGACTTGGAGATGCGGGATCTGGGAGGCCACCCCCTGGCTGCTCCTGCTGTCTCGCTAAGGCAGCGCAAGGCTGCAGCAGGAAGTCTAGCTTGGTGTCTCGGGAAACCTGGATACAGGGAGGCCAGAAAGAATGGGACAAAGCAGGCGTGTGCACTTCGGGTCAGGTGGGACTGGAGGGTCAGGTTGGAGGCTGGGGAACTCCGTGCGAGAGTCAGGGTCTGGTGGTGAGTATGGCAGAGGGATCTGGTACAAGGCCAAGGGGTGAGCCCTGAGATGGATGGGTAGGCAGGAAGACTCAGTTCCCCACGCATGCTGTGACTGTTGTGACCTTCCGGGCTCTGGATGGTGGAATGCTTTGCCCTCAGCTGGTGACAGCGCTGCCTGCTTCATCCCCTAGCCAGCTGCCAGCCTGCTGTTCCCTCGTGTGTCTCCATGCCTGTGACTATCCCACTTCGAGGTTTAGCTCTTTTACAGGTCCTGGCGGCAGGTGGAGCACAAGACCCCGAGTTCCCTCCAGAGTGTCTTGGCCTCTGGTGGGAAGACAGGGATGTGGGGCCCCAGTCTCCTGAAGGTTCCACACTCTGAAGTCAGTGCATCCTGGTGGGGACCTCAGAGTGGCCTTTGCCTTGGAGAGTGGTGATGCTATAGCTGTCCTAGGTTTTCACAGATGGCCCAGGTTTGGGGGAGAGGAGACACAGCCCCACCTGGTGCTGGGAAGATTTCCGAGAGGCACCTTTTTCTTACACTGCCCCACCATCCCTCTGCCGCTCCCTCCTTGGGACACAAAGTGAAGTTGGCCACGTTCGGGTGTCATCTGACCTTCAAACTTTCCCCACCCTTTATCTGCTTCTCCCCCACCCCCAGCCCTGCAGTTTGGGTTGTTGTTATGATCATAAAATGTATGTTGTTACTTATGTGCTGCTGTGGGGTCCTAATGCCTTCCCTGACATCATAGTGTTTGGCCAAGAGATTACCTATAGATCTTCATGGGCCAAGCCCAGAGGACACAGCAGTGGACAAGCTATAGACTCCTCCCTTTCATGGCGTTCAGCTCTGCTTGGAGAGAGACAGACAAGTGACCGCCCAGTCATCATGGTTGGAGAGAAGGAGATGGGGTGATGGTACAGGGTGGCCACTCATCTTGGGGTGATGTCTGATCTGACAGCAAATGGTCTTTAGAAGCAAATATTGGAAAGCAGATGCTGGGAGAGAAGTGTTCTGGATCCTGTGCCCTTTGAGGTTCACCAGCCATGGAATTTGCTGTGTCCGTCTGGAAACTAGCAGGTGTGCCAGAGGGCCAGAGGTGGGCAGAGAACTCATTTTGCTTGTTGCTGCAGCAGGCCAGGATTGCCTTTTGGAGAGTGACGATCACCAGGTCTGACCAGCTCCAACCATGGCCGAAAAGGGGCCCTGTCTGGTCACATGGACAATAGAACAGCTACAGTGTTGCTTCCTGGCAACTCTTACACACACTTTTATTAATTTTTTTTCTGTTTGAGACAGGGTCTCACTATGCAGTTCAGACTGACCTTGGGCTCACTTTTTAGCCCAGGCTGATCCTGAATTTGCAACAGTCCTTCTGCCTCAGCCTCCCCAATGCTGGGATTACAGGAGTGTACCACCATGCCCAGCTTTAATACACACTTGTTTTTAAACCACATTTAACAGCCAAATGACAAAAGCATATTAGGCTTTGCCTAATATGATGCAACTCTCCCAACCAATACCAAGTGTCTCTCCAGAGGTGAGTCTTGAGTCACTTTTAACCACCTTTGGGTGATACTCTTGTAGTTGAATATTTCTCCTGAAGAATGTTTGGGAATCAACACAAACAGAGATATACACTAGCTATTGGGAGGGCATTTTATGTTAGGTAGGAGGGAGTGGGAGGGGGAAAAGGAAGCAAAATAATTGGTTAGCACAGGAGGGTAGCAAGAGGCACCCATTGTTATGTACTCACAAGGTGGCAGCTGCATTTGCCACTGGCCCTTTTCCATGAAGCACACTGCCCCCTAGTCCTAGCCCTCATTTTAGAGGTGATCTGTGTTGCAGCAGGTTTGTCTATGGAGTGGTCTGACTTTCTGTAATTATTTCTTGCAAGATTTAAGAGTGTGGGGAGACCCTCACACACTGTTAAATATTGCCTCCTCATTACATTCTGTGATAAAGACAGTTCCCCAGATCGGAACAAGCACTTCAGCAGCAAGGCAGCTCCTCTGTTGCATCCTTGGTGTGAGGACCGATGACTGGGTGTCATCATCCATGTATTGTGTCCCTAGGTGGAATACTCCAGGATGTGTAGAGGACTGCCCAGATTGCAGGACATGCTACTTTTAGCTTTAAGCCTGGAAAATTTCCTGGTATACAGGATGAGTTGGTGTCCCAGAGTTTGGAACCTCTGGAACAGCAGTACAGGGTTACAGGAATAGGGAACAAAAAATTCACTAGCAGATTGTTAAGGATAATGACATTGGAGAAATCATTGCCATTTCTTCTGCCTGATCTCTGGATCTGGGAATCCTGGCCTTGGGAAAGCCATAGATTCAACACTGATCAAAACCACCCCCTACATCTGGGGCATATATCCAGCCCCAGTCTTGCCATAAAGATGGCGCCAATTCTAAAGGCATCCAAAGAATGAGTATGTTTAGCCCCTTTGCCAAGAAGCCAAAATAAATCCTAAGGACATGTCTACTGATACATGGACCCAGCACAAAGAGCCAAACTCAGAAAGTGAATGACATCCACTTTCCAGAGGTGATTGGGGTATAATCCTTAGTAATTAACTCCCACAGACAGTGAGGGAAAATGTATCATGCGTGAGGAACATTGCTTAACAATTTGTCCATCCCATTTACAGGTTAAATGAAATTGTGTGCATAAGGCAGAATCATTTTGATGAAAGGCAGCATGGGAGGCAGGAGCCTGTTGAATGGTATCTGAGGGAGCAACAGTTCATGGCAGGGAAAGATAGTAAAAGTAACGAAAGTAAAGGAGGGGAAGAATGTCTCTTTTTCTCCACTACATTGTAACCCCCTAGGCAGGTGCAGCACATGCACTATCGATGTGCCCTCCTCCTGCACAGGATAAGGATGTTTACAAAATGAGGCATCTGCTTTCCAATATTTGCTTCTAAAGACCATTTGCTGTCAGATCAGACATCACCCCAAGATGAGTGGCCACCCTGTACCATCACCCCATCTCCTTCTCTCCAATTACACTGGCCCCTTACTGAGTCAGTCAGTCAAGATTCTAATTCTCAAATTGATACAGTGTATCAACCATTCCCACCTAGCCCTTACCAACTTGGCAACCAGACACATTTTTTAAAAAATCGATTTCCATATGCTTATTTTTTGTCCTTTCACAACTTGAACATAACTTGGGTGTTATGGATTAAGAACTGGTGGTCAGTTAATGCCAGCTGGATTACATCAGCATGGTGCTGAGCATAGATGTTCCACCTGAGGAAAGTTGCCAGCATAAATAGAGATGTGTATTGCATTGAGGCATTGAGGTATTGTGGATTCTCCTACAAGTTGCCGTTTGAGCCATTGGTCCTCCTTCTCTTGGAGAAGCTCTGGTCCTCACATCGAGCGTTGCTTCCTGGCTCCGGAGAGGAAGATGTGTGCTGCTTGGTCTCCAGGATGAACTCTGTCATACTGGCTTCCTGGCATGTACTCGACTGTGCTTGTCAGAGGAGCGTTTCCTACATTTGAACCATAACATTTCACTTCCACAGCTGAAACAAACAGCACCCTTCCACCTCTCTTGTCCAGCCAAGCTCTAGGTTTTGTGGAGCTCTTTGGTTCTCTCCCTCCCCTCAGAGGTCTGTGATAAATGAGAGGAACAGAAAGCAGAAGTTTCTGCCTGTTTAATAACCCTTTAAAAGTCTGTAGAGGTCCAGATAGACTTGTGCTGGATTGCCTTTTCCCTAACCTTACTCTAAAGCTGATTTCCCACTTCCTCCCAAGTATGTAAATTTATAGTTCCTTCTCTGAAAACAAACGAACAAACTCAAGAAATTTAGCAAGCTGTGCAGTCTTAATAGGCATATGATCATCAAGACACTCCATGTTCCAGGACCACAACAAAAAGGTAAATACAGGAATCAATAATACAACAAGCATTTCTATAGACACCTGTGATTCTTGAGAATCTGTTTGCCCCATGTTTTACACTTGATGATATCAACATCAATATTTCTCTGCGATTAATATTGATGCTATCAATACACTTCTCCCCTTTTGTACACACAATAAGTGTCCCTTCACCCAGTATTTCTTCTTACCCTGATCCACATCCAGGCTCCATATGCCATGTGCAACACAGCTCTTGAAGTTCGCAGGGCTAAGGATGGTGAGGGGATGAAGAACTAAAAATAAGAGACAGAAAAGTGTCTCAGGTCAGGTGGAACCCCTCTCCATATGGATCTGGGGAGCCACTGAAGTTGGAACTGATCACAATTGCAGAGGCAAGGTAAGCCCAGTCAGACAATAAAGAGTGCCTGAGGCAAGCTACATGAATAAGCTGCTTCAGTCCAGAGAACACTAAGTCTCAAGACAATCCAAGTTATGGGTTGCTAGGCAAAGGGATGTCATGTGACACCAACCTGCCAAATGTATAAATATACATACTACTGTGGTTGAGCAGTTCCTTTCCTTTCATCCAGAGTGAGGGCTCCACCTGATCTCAGCTTTCTGTTTTATCTTTATTTCTCCATTGTCTTGCTGTCCCGTCCTCTGGGGAACTTTGAGAGCTGTGCTGACTGTGATGGATGTGGCAGGTGAGAGGAAAGGAACTGCTCAACCACTGCACCATGTTTATTTATACACTCTGGAGGTTGATGTCAGCCTTAGCCCCTCTTCTTTGCAACTGGTTTGCCTGGATCATCTGGGCAGCTTGTATTCTCAGATCTGGAACAGCTTGTTTATGTGGCTCACCTCAGGCTCTCCATGTCCTCTTGGCTGGGTCTTGCTTTAGCTCTAAGTGTGTGATCTATCTGCAGCTGCAGTTGCTCCCCACAGGGAAAAATAGTGTGAGGGTGGAAAAGTGCTGTATGGAAAACTTTGAGAATGGGAGACTTCTGTGTAGAAGACTGTAAGAGTAATACACCTTGCTGTGTGGAAGACCACAAGGGTGGAACAGTGTGTTGTGTGGAAAGCCATGAGGCTGGACTAGGTGTGATGGTGCAT